CGAGAGAAGCAACTTTGTGTGTTCTGGATATCAGCAATGGAATTAGTGGGCGGTTTCCTGTCAAAATGTGGGGGAGTGGCTTCACATTGTTACAGCTGTCACATGCATGGTGCATAAATGAAAAGCAGAATTTCCTGAAAAAAGTTAAAAATTATGTTTCATTTTCATTTCACTTTTCATCATTATGGGTTTGGTTAAAGAGAATTATGTAAAATAAAATAAAGAAATTTATTATTTTGTTTTGTTGATGAAATGTGTTATTTTGTTATAATATTTTGAAGGAAACTGTTGATTCTGTTATATTTATAATATTTAGTTTGTTTGTTTGTTTATAAATTGTGTTTGGAAATGATCGAATCCCATAATAATTTTTTGGGAAAAATGAAACTGATTCGGATTATAAGGAAGATGAAATTTTATTTTGTAAAATTGGAATTTAACTGAAAATTTTCTAATGCATGTCTTAAATTTTCGCTTGTTTTCTTTGTTCTTAGTTTATAGATTCTTAGAATAGCAGTGTCATTGACAGTAATATTGCAAATTGCATTTGATTTTTTGCATGCAATTTTTCAAGCAATACTTGCCAATTTGAAAGTGGAACAGTTTTTCGACAAAGATATATATTATAAGTCTTAAAGGGACATTCTGCTTTTTTAAGTCTAATAACAAATTTGCTCAAATTCATGAAAACTATTCGCCAAAATCTAGAGAAATTTGTTGTATCTTAAATAACAACTTTGTTTTTAATTAACCCTTTTAAAACAAGTTCATACATAGATATAAAGATATAAATAGCATACTTTAGAAATATTTTCAGGTATAAAAGGTATGTTCTTTTTGATAATGAATTTTTTTTTTAGAAAAAAGCAGAATGCCTCTTTAATATTGAATGGGAACACTTTGCAATATTATTGTCAATGACATATAGTTTAATTATTATTATTTACATATTTTATTTATCCTACTATACTAGTCATTACTTTGAGAGAGAAGAATAAGAAAAAATTAGCTTTTTAGCTTAAATTAATAATTGTCTATATTAATGTAATATATATTTGTTTTGAGAAATTATAAAAACGGCTTGCCAATTGTAGAAAATATTTACTCATGTGATACTAATGTCATTGTTAGACTATTGACTGAATCTGGATTGAAAACCTGCACAAGACACTTAAAATCGTAAGGAAAAACTAGCATGTCTTAGCACATAATTATCTCAATTGTTTGTAAATTTGACAATATCCAGATTCAGCTGTCAATCTTGACTTCTATTTAAGTTAAGGATTTAAACACTGTGTATGTATAGTCATAATGATATTGAAATAATGTAGAATGACAATACCATTATTAAATTTTGTCACTTAAAATTGTAAGAAGCATATTCAAGAGCTCCAATTTAATAAACTTGTAGCTCTGCACCTAATCTGTGTTTTTGTTCCCTTGTGATTTAAAGGGCAGGTGCCCCATTTTTTTTACCTTTCATACTTACAAAAATGGGAATTTTTTTTAGCTAAGCCAATCGGTAATAGTGTTCACAGCTCGCTGTCAAAATTATACTTTGACTCCAATAGCTACTGTTCCTGTATCACAAAATGCTGCAATTTGATTGTACGCTTGCCAATACAGCCAATCATAGACTGTAATAGACAGACTGTAAATATTATGGCTTATTGTTTACAGGCCTTCTGTTGAGGATTCATTGGCTGTATTAGCTTACATACAATCCAACCAAAACACTGCATTTACGAGAAAGACAGCTTTTGCAGTCAAGGTATAAGAGGCAGTTCTTAATAGAGCTAAGATATGTAGCTCCACGATTGAATTCACCCACCTAAATTTCTGCATGCAAATTGCTTATTAATGCAAAAGATATCCAATGAGTTTGAAGAGTTTTGAGTTATTGCCCTGTCACCCAAAAGATGCTTAAAAAGAGATCAGTATAACCATATTTTAAGAAGATTAGAGTAAGAGCCATCCTACAAATTATCTATTTTTACTGGGGTAGTCTGTGTCCATATATTAAAATAACAAGCATAAGGATTATTCTTTTATTTTGAAAAGACAGGAAACAAATTATCACAAACCATGATAATATATTACTAGTTTCTAAAATGATAATTTTATGCATGATCTTTTATTTTATTCAAGAATAATAGAAAATATAAATACAAGTAATGTTATACTACCAACTTTTGTCATTTTAAATCATATCAAAGGACAGACACACATCAAATCTAAACCATGAAAATCTTTTGCCAATATCAAAAACTCTTTCATACTAAATTGTAAAGGGGAAAACAAAAAAAAGCCTGTTTCATAGTTTAGTCAAAGATATTTTGCCACATCTGGAGACAATTCCAAACATAAATACAAGCAGTTCACTATATTTTGAGCAAGCTGAATAGCAATAGACATACTAAGAAAGAAATAACTATATTTTACAAGGTTAACAACTTGGGTTCTATTAGCAGGTCCTTGGCCAAACCTCTGGTTATAGCTGGAATTATGTGTGAAGATGACTTGTTTTAAGTCAAACTAATTTCACATGCCCAGCAAAAATAGAACCCACAACCACCATTGTTTGAGGTTACCAACTTTTAACTGACTGCTACAGAACCTACAAGGAATTTTTTTTTAGAGTTTCTGTTACTTTTTAATCCACCTGAAAATTAAGTAGACTTTGTGTTTGGTTTGGAATCGTCTCTTGATGAGTACAATCATAGATAGCAATTTTTTTGTTGATCAAATGCCTTACAGAGAAGTGAAATTGGTGTAAAACTTATTCTGTTCTAGTCTTGGGACAGAGATTCACAGAAAATAGTCAGTAGATAGGACAGCACAAGACAGCCGATTATTTAACTAAGCACTAAATAAATAATTAAATAAAAATAATTGATTGAAGTGAAGTTTCAATCTAAACTACAATAAAATCAAATAACACACAAATATTAAAAATAAATACATAAGGCATTAGGCATCAAAAAGGTAAGGAAATTGACTTGTGGATTCATGTTTATTTTTCTTTGAAGATATCGTTATTCAAGCTAATCAGTTTATGTGAAACCTATATTTCATGGTTAATTTTTGTATGCACTCTCTTTTCCAACACCTGATGCCACTATCCAACTGGGTATGCAGTCTAGGGAGCTCAAGGCTGCCAGAATCAAAGATATTAAATGCACATCCATTAATTTCTTCAAGTGATTATGGCATTACTTAGTTTGTGTTATACAGAAAAGGAAAAGAAATTAAAGAAACATGAACAAAAGATTGAAAGAAGAAAAAGAAATAAAGCAATATTTCAATCCCTACACAACAATGATATATACCATGAATTATATTTCATTAGACTAGGCAAGCTATAAATAAGTGTATATTTGAGCAGTAAATGAACTAAAACCAAATTTCAATTTTTTTTTTTTTCAAGTTTGTCTACCATCAAATCCTTGGTCGAACCTCTTGGCAAAGATCTTACAAAATGACGCATGACTACAGGAATAATGAGAAATGTTGATATATGAAAACTGCAAGAGTTTCACAAGCGAAAAGATCTACAAAAGTTGATTCTTAAAAATGCAAATACCTGCTTGTCTCCCTTATAACTGATAAAATATGTTTCATGGACTATATTTCAATATGGTTATTATGTTAAATAATCTATATACACAATTGTCTAGCAAATATCAATCAACACACATTTAAAATCCTACACAAAATCTTGTACACATGATTAATATATATTAACTTAGAATCATTATTATAAAAACATTATTCATATATCATAATTATTTTATATTAACAATCATTCTTTATTAATAATCATTTTACAATTCTGAATCATTTTATAATTCAGAATGACATTTTCAGGATATTCATTTACACTATTTAGTACTCCATTTTGCCTGATTTATCTCCAACATTGTTGAGCCTTTTAATTACAAGCATTTTATGCATTAAGATGTGCTTGCTCTTAATTAGAGTGCATTTGATCCCCAAAGCCGATGTTAAAATGCGTAAGTAATTAGCATAAATTTTAATGCCCTTTAAACTTATGCAGATTCTGAGCATATTATTAAAATTTTTACCCTGGATGAACTCATTCATATCAATTAGAATCTTTGAACTGTCCCAGGGAAATCAGTATAGGTTTGTAATAAATTCTTGGTATTTATTATTCGAAGTAGAGATAGTGTCATCTAGAGATCCCGAGTGTCATGAGTCAGTTTCAACCCTTGATCCAGCAGACCTATATCTTTAGACGAAGACATTACTTCTGAGGCAATAATCATACGATCAAGCATGAAAGAGGTAATGATCCAATTATCCATGAGTGGGGAAATTTGAAAGACAGATATTAAACAAGCGTATCTACTCATTTCTTCTTAGTCTATTACTTCAAACTAATCTAGCTTAGCCAAGTTCTGAACATTTCAAAAACATTTGTTTTGCACCAAATCTGCAAAGAATTTGATACAAGGTGGCCCATTGTTTCCCTAAATGAATAATTTCTATGCTATTCTATCCATTTCACTCAACCATAACAAGATGATCATTTCCATGTAAATCTCTCAAAGTTTCAAGATTTACAGTTCTCAAAGATTCAAGAATTACAGTTCCATATCACTTGCACATAAAATCCAAATTCCTTTCGATTCCAATACTATTTAAGATCATTCCACATTCGTGTCCAGTCCAGCTAAGTAAAAAGACCTTCCACACAGCCTTTGTCTTTTATCCTATATCCAACCAAGACCAGTCTATAAGAAAGGTATCCTATATATAAGCTTATATAATCTGGTGCAATGCTCTATCAGTTCACAGAAATGAAAAGCAGTTGGTGTGACACAAGCTTTTAAGATCAGTGTTTGTTGTCAGTGATATCTGGACGACAGCTGAGATCTTAGTACCATGATGTTAATACAAGTTCTAATGTTTGTTGTAATATGGTACAATAGAAAGTATTTATGTATTGTTAAGGTCTATCACACATAAACTTGATGTCATACTGGTGTACTTCTACCTGATTCATTCCCATTACTCACTGAAATACAATTACCTATTTCATTTATAAACAAGTTAAACAGATAACTATTGCTTATGGTGTACTGTATTTCAGTCTAACTAAAATATTTTTGTCTTCAATATCGCCACTCTTGAACGCATTAACCTTTTGAATTAACTTGATGATGTCTGCTTTAAGCAATCAAATTTCTACCCTCTCCATTGCTGGAAATTTATGACTCTGGCAATTTTAAACTGATCTGTACACAAATGTGGTATGGTGTAGAAAACATATGATTAAAATGCAGATCCATTTGTTTCACTTTGTGCTTTTTTGGGGTGACTATAATGATCATCCATGATCTGACAAAATTCTTTTTAAATTGTGTTCAGTTCAGTTTTTATCAAATAGTATCCTAACCAATTAAAAATACTATTAAATATGGAGTGATAATATCATACATGAAAATCCTAGAATATATTGCATGAAGTTTCAAAATATTTCACTTGAGAAATTTTCTTTTAAAGTACCAACCTTTATCTAATGGTCCCCATATTCTAACAGTACCATCATCTGAGGCGCTAGCTAACATACTAGGTAATTTAGGATTCCAATGTACACAGTTCACAGTTCTACTATGACCTTCTAATGAGGCTACTGGTGCTTCTTTTTTACTGTGCCATATATACACTTTATTATCTGTAAAGAAAATTACCATACTTAGGTTTACAGAATAAACATAAATATAAGATTTATAACAGCTTTATGTACTACTCTTCTGGACTTTATTGAACTAATAGACCAAGCAACACCACACACAATGTGCAATGAGGGAAATTTTGTCAGGTCAGCAGCATTAGCCTTCTTTTTTTTCAATTTTCAACTGTAGCAGGATCTGTAATGTGCACAGTCTGTAGCACACAGGACCTTGGTTTATTGTCACATCTGTACGACTAGACGCTTTTTCCACGTCAGCTTCTCCAAATTGTATCACTGAACAGAGCTTATGAGTTACATTCTCAAATGGCATTAAGTAGTATGCTAATACTATCTATATTGAATCCATCATTTTCAAGTTCTAACCATCATATACAATTTTTTGACAACAATAATTCAAGTCATGCATCAGTTATCAAAAGATAATGATTGTAAATATTACCTTCACTACCACTAGCTACAAAATCCTGGTTGATTCCTCCAAAACATGAAAATATTGTATAGAAACCTTGTGTTACACCTTGGAACTTTCTCAATAACACTTTATCTTTTAAATCCCATAGATGAACACCCTACAAAATACAGTGTTCATAAAGTTATTATGATTCTTGTTTAACCATCTAGATAACTTTAGCTACCAGTTAAGATTATCTAGTTTACCCTTTATGATAAAATTTCTCTTAGATTTATACCATTTAAAAATTACTAACAAAGCCCTGTTTAGTGCAACTATTATCTCGAAACATTTTTAAACAACCTTCTAATGCATATCTTGCATCTAATAGATCTGCAGATCTAATAGCTACTCTGATATAATATGCACATATAAAGATAAGCTTACCTGAGTTGCTACATTAACTAATGCTAATCTGCCAGTATCATTGACAGTGAAAGACATAATAGGATGGTCCTCTTGTAATCTGAAACAATGATAACAAATTAGGCTTATTTTTTTCTTTCACTCGACAAAAAGCCACAAATAATCTTCATATTTGTCTTCTTTGCAAAATGAGCTATGTCATACGGTGTTTACTGCAGTAACTTTTGTCTATTTTTTGAATTTCCACTTTTAGGATCTTGATTCTTGTTGCATCCAAACATCAAAGGCATTAAATATCTGCTTTATCCCTATAACCAGCTCTGATAAATCTAATGTAAGACAAATACCAACTTAAATGAGCTAACTCCCTGAGCTGCTATGGCTTCTCTTCAGTTATAGAAGACACACTAATTTCATTTGGCTGTTAATATGCAATAAGTGCAGGAATCTGATTAAATTTCATAAGAACTCACATATTACAGTCATGTTGATCATCAAAATTATACGCTCGAATTCTATGATGGGTATCTGCTGCTAAAAATAACTTGGTATCGTTGGAACAAGCTAAACATTGTACTCTAACACCTTCCCAATTATCTAACATAGTACCATCTATATCCTATAATTAGTTAATAACACTATGTTATAAATACTGTTATAATTATATCATCTAAATACATAATGGTTTTACCAGCTTATGTTTTTCATGTGTAGCTATTATTAATCCCACACTTTTGTTGCATCGTATGTGAACCAGACACAATATTTTAATTTAAAAGAGACACTGATAGTTAAAAATTGAGCTATGTCATCTATAGTTAAATGACTACAGCAATTTGAGAGGAAAGTTTAACAGATATTGGCTTAAGTGAGACATACAAATGAAGCCAATTGAAAATAACCACAAATTGACATTACAATCTAGTTTAGAACATTAGCTTCATTTTTCAATATTCACAAACATTGGTAGCATAATCCAGCATCAAAATCATAGTTTATACTTACACAAATATAAAATTGTCCCCTAGTACCACCAGTAACAAATTTTTTACCATCAGTATGCCAGGCAGCACTAGTTAAACTATCTTCAGGGGATTGACTTATTTTTTGACGTAATTCTCCAGTCTAAAATTAAAGTAAGAAAGAAAGATTAGAACTATATTTTACAAGGATAACAACTTAGGTTCACAGTTAGGGATCCTTTCTACCAGCTGGTCCTTGGCCAAACCTCTTGGCATTGATCTTTGTTGGAATATCTGTATCCATTTACAGCTGGGTTGACTGGAATTATGATTGAAGAGGCCTTAATCAAGGCCATCAGACTATCACACACCGATCGAGATCGGAACCCACAGCTGCTATTCGCTCGAAATAACCTAGCAAATGACATCATGTTAAGAACCAACACTCTAACCAACTGTGCTATAGAACCTCACAAAGTACCAAGATAGAAGTACCGTCCGTTATCCATTTAAATTTTGTATATGTTGGTTTGAGCAGGGCAGTTTGGAGTTAAATTTGAAATTCATAGAATAGTATTTGTATATTAAGATCAAACTAATTGTAAATAGGATGGTCCAACTACTTACTTCAATATTCCATAATAATAATTCTGAGCAATCGTCTGGCCCACAAGCTAATATATGACTACTATCTGGACTCCAGGCTAAAAACGCTACACCGTAAGAATTATTCTCATATGATTTTCTGTGACGTAGTTCAAAAGTTTCCTGTAAAGAAAATGGATGAACTGTAAAAAAATTGTTACTGTAATGTTGGGAATGTGTTAAGGTAATTTTTCAAGGCAAACAACGCAGGTTATGGCTTTCGATTTTGGGTGCCACTCTTGGCCTAAACTTAGTCAAATCCATTTTTCTTTCCCCGATATCTAAGAGAAAAGTCTGCTTATGTTCAATTAAGGTGCCCTTGATGTTCCTGAAAGATAATCATCTTCTAACATGCCGGAACAACATCTAAAACAAATGTAATATTGAAATTTTCTCAAATTTGGTACATTTTCTCATAAAATTGTCAAAATCAAATTTTTTATAAAAGAGTTAAAAAACTTACAAAGTCAACATCCCATATAATCATATTGCCATCTTTAGACCCTGTAGCTAGTTTCCTACCATCAGGTGAAAATCTACAGAACCATACTTCATCACAGTGATCATTTATTATCTGACTGGTGTGACATGGAAACTGATCTCTATAATAGAGTAGTGTTTATATACATAAACAAATACAGAAATCATATGAAAAATGTTAGTTTAACAATGTTCTGGGTAAAAAAAAAGAACCCTTTTGTGTCTGCCACTATGGATTGATATAAATATAAAATAAGTTTACATCCTACTCTGTTCCAGTTTAAATGAAAAAGAGAGTCAATGCTGCATTAACCACCAAATTATCTATTTATGACACATTGAGCCACCAAGCCACCTCATATTTATACTAATATTAATATTCTGTTTCCTATATTTTCTGACGGTAAGAAAGACAAATCCAACTTACTTTGAACATGAATGATCTAATAATAAAGAGAAACAATCAAGATTTTTATCTAGTTTGGTATTGTGGTATGGACATCTATCTTTCTGCATATCAACTGCTTGTGTTAATAATGTTAATAAACGACCAGGTGGTAACATCACAGTTGGAGGTAGGAAGGCTGAAATGAAAATGAAAAAATTAAAATGAAGGCAATAATAAACTGTTGATTTTGACACAGGCTGCTACAGTTAAACATGTAATGAAAGACACGTGCTGGTACCACTAAATGCTTAGAACATAGTCAATCATTTCAACAAAAATGTTGGATTTTCTGAGTGCAGTTCAAGCCTTTGAAAACGTTTAAGGCGTTTTTTGTAAAATATCACATAGGACTGATTATCAATAATGCAGATACAAATTATGTAGAAAATATCTTAAATTGTATTGCAGCAGAAGATACTGAGCTATAAATTGAAATTTAAGGTTTTGTACTTACTTTGAAGTTTTTCAATAAGTTTTTGACGTGATTCTGGTCCTCTCCCAGACCATTCAGACATTTCTCGCAAATCATTTGCATTACTACACATCATATATCTACAAATATATATTAATGAATCAATTAATAAAATATAATGGAATCTTTAACATCATTAAAGATTGCACCCATTGGCTATAAGTCTCAACCAAAGGTAACAAATGCTTAGTAAAAACTTTCAAATAAAAGTTTACAGGCCATTATCATTTTCACATTTAGATAGGCCAACTGTTCATGTCAAAAGTAAGTCTCATCCTCAATATATCCATTGAATAAGCTTACTTACGAACTTAATGCATGGACTCTTTCTGTATTATATTTTAATGGTGTTAATTCATGTCTTAAACAATGAAGAGCATCCAATTCTCTTCCAATTTCTAAATATTCTAAATATTTCTGTTCTAACAACAAAAACCTCATTTTCTACAAAAGATAAAATAATTAAGTCAGTATAATGAAAAATGTCACAACACAAGACAATATTATGGAATAAGCACACTTCTTTAATAAAATTACACGTGTCGTCATCAGATGAAATCATAGACGAACTCCTCATTTCTAAATATCATTCAAGTCTTATATAAAGAAAAATGTCTGACAGACAAATAAATAAATCAACAGTCAGGATTGAATTCTCAACAGCAACTAAAAAATATGTTCTACCCCATGGGTAAGGGATTAAAAAGAATTGTCATAATCTATTATGTATAGTTTGCATCAATTCAATTCCCACAGAATCTCTGTATTGTCTGCGACCTTTCAAATTGAATAGAAAAGAGATCTTACCATAATGCTCTGTTGGCTATCAACCATTTCTTTCAAATCATTTAAATCATGATCAGCCTACAGAATTAGAATAAGTAGAGGAATTATGAAAATTGGCTTACGGTTGATAAAGCTTTAGGCAAACCTTAACAAATATCATTTCTAGGTCATGAACCTCAGAGTTTTTGAGAGATTCCAGACCACACTATGAGGTCAGTCCCTTTTTCATTGAGCAATGGATCGGGTCTAGTTTGAAAATCTTAATCCTATCCTAAGTGAATTGTCCACAATGGATAGTTTTTTCTGACTCTTCCAAGTTAATTTCTGTCAAAAAAAAACAAGTAATTCAAAAGTATTGGTAATTCTTTAAGGTCACTAATGACTGATTTTAAGCAAAGAGCAATATCTGTATTTTTTGACTATTTTTTAAGCTTTTCTTAAACAATATTAAAACTTATTTTTTACTCGTATTAGTGGTCATTATTTGACCATTATCTAGTATACTAATCTCTTTCCTTAACCTAATGAAGTGACCTATATCATATACCTGTCAATAGTTAAATAGGTCAAATAAATTATGAGTTTACAGTAGCTTTAAAGGCAGATAGTATGAAGTCAATGCAGTAGCAATGTTATGAAACATATCATAACCTTTGATATTTGGGAGAGGTTTTATAAAGATTTCTGTTTAATAACAACACACAAAGATTTTCTTAATTGTAAACAATATGGTCATGTGATATGCAAATGAGTCAGCTGTTTCTATAAATAGATATAAACATCACATCACCATGCCTGTTTCTAAAGCTGTTGTCATTACATTAGGTTATTACTCCTGGGGTCATATACTTTAAACACAAAACATTCAATGATTATTTTGACAAGATATGTTGGCAGACCTATGCTTATGAAATCACATTTTTGAATTACTAAGTAGTCAAAGTGGGTTCAATGAATTTAAGAATAAACTCAATAAGACTGTATATGATCATTATTTAAGTTCCTTAATCTCAAATCATTAACATAATCAACAAAGCCTTTACCTTTTCCCATTCTCCATCCATAATATGGGCTCTAAATCTAGCAGCTGAAGAATGCTCTAACATACATCCAGATTCAACAATCAACTGTTCAACAGTTCGACTGAAAATTAGAAATCAATAATTGTAATAAGCCATTGATAAATTCATCTGGACCTGACTTGCAACATGTGGTACATACAGTTCAATTAATCAATTTTAATACCTAAAAATTAACAAAATACCAAAGACATCAAACACATTCCTCTAACAGTTATAGAATTCAATTCTTTCCCATTCCATCATGTCTGCTTAAAAGCTGACAAGCACCATAATCAATAGATACTTGAAGCTAACGGAGTACCGATATTTGCGCGTTATTTTAGGCAATATGCTATAAACTTATCAATATCAAGACCTATGATTGTATAAGACAACTCCAAGTAGCATAATTCTCATAAACACATCTACAACACTAGCAGGGTTAGATTCTCTTGATTCAAAACTATAGTAATAAGTTTGAATCAAACAAGCTTATATAATATCTTTTCACCGTGTAAGGACCTAACTCATGCCTAGATATATTATCCATTAAGCATATTACTAAAATAACTTTAATAGGCCTATCCTATACCAGGGCAATAATAAGTTTTGGTTAAAAATCTAACTTACTTCAACCCCAGTCCTCGCAAATGCTGCCCGATTAGACGTACTATATCTTGATCTGTTCTAGACATTATTTTAGGATTAGGGCAGTTGTTATTCGATCCATGCATACCCCCATTAGTAGTTGATAAACATGCCCCATTTTGTTGTGAGCTGCTTGCTGACTCCTCTGTCTCTCCATTGTGCTGAGGGCAGCCATTAGCCTGCATGATCATTGAGGCTGATAGTCGTTGCTTTTTAGGCGGTGGAGGCGTAACACCACCGTCTTCGGACTCGGAGGACGATGCCAGTATGTCTACACAGATGTCTATGATTTGTATTTTTCAGGTAATACAAACCATAGAGTAAATTTCTGACAATTTTTCAGCTTCCAAACAAGTCAGACTTCTCTGTCCAAATTTGTTTTGCTTCGTGACGTCACAGCCTGTTGAATGCTGGGAAATACCAGACGAAAATCTTCGCATTTTATGTGATTTGTTTTGTAATATTTCTTGATTCTTTTTGCCAGGGCATGTAAATTTATTTTCTGAAATCGTTTTATCTGCAGCGGATATACATCTTTAGTTTTCCTGGTTGTTCCTATTGTTTAACGATAACAGGCCAAAATAGCAGACGAATTTTGTGATTAGCTGTAGGGGAGATTAGGTTGCATTGGTACGCCAGTTTTTCATATAATGTCTATGATTTTTTTAAGTTTAAGTAGCAGTGACATCACGGAGCCAATTTTAATATAATAAAAGCCTGGAATTCAAGTATTTAAAAAGATTCGAGTGATTGCATGATCCATGATGGAATAGATTAGGTAGACACATAGGCCATAGGCAGGCGTAGCTTAGGCCTAGGCCTACATCCCTTCTCACTTGACCAGTGTAAAGGTTGGGAATGGAACCCATAGCACTTCGGACGCATTGGTTTGGCCACCTAATCATCAATGCAGTGGAAAGAGCCCTCTCTCCCTTCTTTTTGAATGTAGGCATTTGAATAAGAGATAAATAAATCCATAAAAATCTTATATTGCCCATACTGGAATAATGACCTTGACCCTTGGCATTTTGGTAGGCCTGAAGGTTAAACCATTAGAGGGACAGTCTGATTTATTAGGGCCTAGTCTAATGTTTGACTCAAAATTATGAAAACAATATAGGGCCTACCAAATACTGAAGAAATCAAAGTTTCAACTTAATGTAGGCTTAATTTTAGAACGCCAAAACAAGTAAAAAGGTTTACGTAAAAATAAACTCTCAATTATAGAGAGAAATTCCTCTTTATCATTCCGACGGTTGCAGCTGAAAATATCTAGCAGTAAGGCCAAACACAATTTCTAGATTTTCTAGTTTAATATCACCCCTGTAGTAGCCTACAATTGCAGTAATCTCTGAAAAAAAAACATGTTATCCTACAATGGGATTTTAAAAAGATCTATAAACTGTAAATATGTAAAAGATTATTTAGAATTGAAATAAATAGGCAAATTAAAGGCAAACCCCTGTCTAACCGTCTTAACAATGGTCAAGGTATTACGAACATCGTCCTATACTTTGACTATAATAGCCAGTGTTTGTAATACTTTGGCATTAACAGGCCCGGACCGTGTTTTCACGTCATGAAATTGAAAATTGGTAAAAAATAGTGCGAGTCATTATATTCCTGGCACTATTATATAGATCTTTTACATATTACCCTGAACAATACATCACAGAAATAATTCTATGAAGTAGGTGAAAATGGTTAAGCTGTGCCTATATATGTGCCTATAATTGGTTGTATATAGACTTGTTGGATAGCCTAACTTTGAGCCAGTGGCGGAGACAAAGAAAGGGGGCAGGGGGTGGCCCCTGGCCGCCCCGAAGGCATGTTTTTCGGGCATGACTCTCATAACTTAGTTAGAAATTCGGACCTCAGATATTTCGCCCCCTCCCGTACGTAAACGTAAACGTTGCACCGCCACTGCTTTGAGCCAGTTACTTCCCTTTACCTTTAGAATATAGTATCTTTCCTGCTTTCGGCAACTCATTTCTGAAGTACTTGAGTGTTTAAGTCAGAGATATTGCTTTAAATTGCATAAAAAGACACACTATAAGAATCCTCATAGTTGGCGGTTGTGGTTAAAAATACACGGCTTAGAGCCTCTGGTTTGCACTCCACGCAGTTCCATTTTTAGGGTTAGGTTAAACGGAGTAGATAGATAGAAGTAAAAAATAGTCTTTTTTAGAAATATTTTGATGTATAATCTATAGAATCATTTCAATAATATTTTTATTTTTATTTATTTATTATTTTGTTTTGCATACTGCCAGCTTTAAAGAGACAGATGCCTAGTTTGGGGGTTGATCTTAATATTGAATTATGTAAATAGTCTTCAGTACTAGATATGTAAGAACAATCACATAATTCCTTCAATAATACTTCAAACTTGGAATTTTAGTTAATATTTCTATATTTTGTCTTTTCTATATATCACAGAGTATCTTTAATTGACAAGTCGTCATTTCAACATTCAAACGTGGATAATTCTGGACACACATGGATTTGAAGACTCCAGTGAAGGCGACGGTGAGCTGTGAACACTGTTACTGATTGGCTTAGCTTAAAATTCCCTTTATTAGGATTAAAGTATGATTGGTCAAATAAAATGGCGCATCTGTCCCTTTTAATAACGCAACTTGGAAATAAGAAAACGGCAATAAACACATGTGTTGGAATACAGGGTGAGGCAGATGAAATATTTTAAATGTATAAAAAAAATCTTGTGGTTCATACTGAAAGGAAGAAATCTGGGATCATGAGATCATGATGGTCGGTGGATCCCCTGTCTCCATCAATACATGGAGAAAAGGTAAGGGTTACAGGCTCCAATTAGCAATTAGCAGAACTTGCCCCAGGTAGTAGGCTAAAGAAAGTTGAACAATACGGTCCTGATGCCATGATACAGAATCTTAGTAGGCATTGCCTGTATTTTACATGTACATTTAGACATTATGGGCTAGACATTTCACATTCTGAGACACTGTTGGGTTATATGTGAAGTAGACTAGTAGGCCTATAGGGGAAACAAGTGAAGAAACATGATCTTTAAAAGCTATTGTTTGACTAGGCTAGAACAAACTGAACCATACCCTTCAAGGAGATCAGGAAAGGACAGCATAATAAGGCTCCTTTAGATCTTTCATGTTCCTTAAGTAATGGTACGATTATTCACATCTAACAATAACATGATCATGTTCATGTAACGTTGCTTAAGGAACAAGTAGGTCTTTAGGCCGCCTCTTTTCTAGCCTCTGATAGCTATTTTGACAGTTCTCGAATGCATTATAAAGATTTAGAATATTAGATAATCTCTAAGATGAATTCAGTGTGAAATCATGATTCGGGTTGAAAAATTATCTCGTTATGACGTAATAATTCTCAGCAACGGCACATTATTTTTGGTACTTTCCAATCACGTGACAATAAAAGTACTGCACGACGAGGGCCGCGGTAGATTTCGACTCATGGTGATTTTACCTTGCATATTATGCACTGTTACTTGGTAGATATATAGCCTACACCTTTAAATTGTTGCAAACATTCTGAATTCCTGATAACCTAGCGTGTATGTCGCACCTTATCGAACAATTCAAAGATATCTCTTAGTTTTAGATCTATTTCAAAACTCTGTCTTGGAACTGTTTACCTTCATTCAAAAGAGGGGCGTTTGGTGTCCAGAGCTTTTTCATAGATCCAAGAGAGAAATATTCAGTTTTATTTTTTTGTATGGTAAAGCAATATGCGAGATTTTTTTTTCTTGCCCATGCTCCCACCCCAATTGTTTATGTTTCTACTAATTCTTACATATTTTTGCAGATAGGCCTAATCTGAAAAGATACTTGTAATGTCAACATGCCTGTCCAATCAGTTTCTAAAAAGAAAGAAAAGTCGAGAAAGAAACATTTATACAAAAAGGTAGGCCCTATTTTTAATGACAGTTTTTTAAGCTTTAGAAATAACATTTGAATAGGATCTTGGCCATAAACGAAAGACTGTGTTAAATATTGGCTTACGAATTGTTTTCCCTATGCCATAGGCTAGTTTGAAAATAGGGTATTAGATTAGCTAAGATGTTTTGCAAATGACCAAATAAGGGCCAAATAAAAATCAGCATTGATTTTAGCTTCAGTTCAGTAAGCAGGTTCCATTTTCACCACACATTATTTTCAAATTGTGCTCCTAAAAAAAAACATGGAGCATGCCAAGATTCCTTGAGGATTAGTGAAAAAACCTCTCAAACAGGCTCATTTTGAACTTTATAGTTGAGTAAGTCAACTCCTTGGTGCTTATTGTCTGAGAAACTTAAAAAGTTTTTTGAATTTTTTTGGAGAATTGGAATGTCGTCCTAAAAATAGCACTTTAAGTCTTACATGTCCTTGCGTAGAAAAAAATAATCTTTTGGATGTTTTCATTGAAAACAAACACATTTCCTCATAGAAATTTCAACCCAAAAATTTTCAACTGAAGACATGATGTGTGCTTATATTTCTATTTATATCAACGCACAGACATTATGTTTTCAGAATTCAAATTCTCAGAAAAATAATGGGAAAAGTTCAAGAAACTTTTTTACTTTGTTCAGAAATTGTTTAACTACAAGCTTACAAACCATGCTTATTACATTTTCTGTTTACAGCCAAAAGTAAATGAAAATGAAGAGAATCAACAGGTTTCAAGGTAGTTTGGATTGTTATCAATTGTAGAATAAATTATTATAAAAATGTTACATTAAAGATGGGTTCCCTTATTTTCATTTATGAAACTTATATGAATAGGAAGTAGAGGTGTTCTAATGACTCCGAAAAATGGGTTCCCTTATTTTCATTTATGAAACTTATATGAATAGAAAGTAGAGGTGTTCTAATGACTCCGAAAAATAGCCTTTTATCTCACATGTCCCTAATTAATTCATAATTAGCTAAAGAATTACCAGCAGAATTCCATTGAGTGACCGATCAAGAAAGGTCAAAAAGTCTTTTGTTGTTTATCCAGACTGTACATGCATAGACATTTATGATTGGTTAAAACTATTAATTATATGTAATAAGAACATAATGATTTGATTAAGAATATATGACATAATAAGATAAGGAAACCCATCTTTACAAAAAAATTTAACATGATTTTACAGTCAGATAAACATGCTTCACTTGTATCAAAAAACCACCACTCAGGCAAAAAT